TGTTTTGACTTTAAAATTTCAAAAGTTTTCTGATTAAGATTATGGAGGCATACTATCATAATCAAGCGACCATGCCTCACTTCTCAGGACATTACAGACAGCGGGGTAGTGGCTTCGGTGCTCTGGCTATGGGTATTGGACGAGTAGCACTTCCGTTAGCTCGGAAATTTATAGTACCAGCAGCAAAACGTATTGGAAAAGAATTACTTGTTCAAGCAGCACCCGAATTAATAGACATAGCAACGAGGAAGAAAACGCCCAAACAAGCCTTGAAAAACACAGTAAAAAACACAATCAAAAAACAAGTTGGAGCTGGACGCAGTAAATCCCATATGAGTAGAAAACGGAAGAGAGCAACAACAACAACAACAACAAGAAAAAGAAAAACAAAAGCTCTCATTCCACAAAAACGAACCCCACTGAGAAGTCGGTCCAACTTTTTCACCAAAGTACGAAATGATTTCTAATTTATTGCCAACTGAAGCAACTCACAGCTCATTAGATTTATTTGAAAAGCCTCCTCTACTCGTTACATTTGAAAATGCGTTCACTCAAAAAATTGGTCCATCTTATTCACCTGATGGTCCTATGCTCGAATTTGAAGTTTTAGGAGATAGAAACAACTTTATCGATCTTCAACGAACTCGCTTGGTAGCAGATTGTAGCACGCGTTGTTCAAAATAATGGTAATGTACTGCGAACTCATGCTACAGAGGCAGCACAACGAGACACCCCATATTTGGTTAACAATCCACTTTCATCTTTATTTTCCGAATGCACAATGTCCTTGAATGGAGAAAAAATTTCAACAACCAATGCCAATTTTGCCCATAAGAGTTTCATTGAGACCGAATTTTCACATGGTAATGATGCAAAGAAAACATGGCTTGCTTGTCAAGGTTATTATTATGAAGATAATCCATCAGGTATTGATGGTGCTAATGGGCGAGCTGAAGATGTCGCTGAACGTAAACGAATCGTAGCTGCATCAACTGAGTTCCGTTTATTTGGTAAAATTGCTTGTGATTTTTTATCATGTGACAAACATCTTATCAGCGGTGTTACAATAAGACTTTCTCTGAGACGATCTCCTAATGACTTTGTTATCATGTCTGAGCATAGAGATAAACATTACCGTGTTGAAATCACAGAGGCTAACCTATATGTGCGCAAAATGACAGTAACCGATTTTGTGCTATCGTCGATAGAAAAAACTCTGTTGAAAACACCCGCAATATACAATTATATTGAAGTTTTACCGAGAACTTTTTTGGCCACAACTGGTGTGCAAAGCTGGCGACAAGAAGACGTTTTTGCCAAAGAGCCAGTTCGTCGAATGATTTTAGCAATGAGCTCGAATACAGCATACCTGGGAACTAACCGAACAAACCCGTTTCATTATCAAAAATTTCAGCTGAATGAAATCATTGTTTACCGAAACGGTCTGCCCATTGCAGGAACTCCTGTGTCAACGACTGATAACAAAAGAATATACTATAACACATTGGAAGCTCTAGACTTTGTTTTCAACAATAGTCATGGAATCAGTTTGGCTAATTATCACAATCATTATATTATGGCATTTGATCTCACATCTACTCAGGAGGCTTCACATGACTTTATTCATCCTGAATTGACCAATTGCACCATTTCAGTAGAACTGAAGTTTGATGCACCGCTGGGGGAAAATGTAGAGTTACTTTTCATGGGAGAGCGTGCATCAACAGTTTACGTGCGTTCCGATAGAAAAATAGCTAAAAACACTCTAATGAGTTGACTCGGTGAAAAAAATGGACAATTTACAGATTACTGAGCTTATTCACCGATGCAAGCATTTGAAACATCGATTTTGTGGCATTTTTCCCGCTAACTTAGCATTTAATTCAATATTGAAACGTGACAATACTTTCATGATAGTGAACGCATCAAACTCAGACCAGCCAGGAACTCATTGGTTACTGTTTGCTCAAGCTGGTGGTCAAATTTTTTTTGCAGATCCTCTTGGACGAAGCCTACACAACTATCCACATGTATACAAAAATATGAGACGTTCTATCCATGAGGGAAACCAAATACTGATGAATAAGCCAATCCAATCAGCTAACTCGGTCTTGTGCGGACTTTATTGTATTTATGTTGCTCATGTTATAATTTCATCTAAATTTCCTATAGGTTTCAAGGTTAATGACCATGACATGATGCGTTTTGCTAAACATATGATGTTATAACTTTGTGATACTGATGCATTTCTTTAATGATTTATAATTTATTTTTAAGAAAAAAACATGTTTTATGGTTGCTAGAACACTTGCCTCTGGCGTTATCGCAGGCTCTAAAAACCGTTTTCAGAGTTTAAATTTTTTTTCCATTATAAATTTAACAAACAAAGTATTTGAATCAATCTCTAAACGACCATAACCACTCAAAATGATATCAATAATTTTAGAAAACTCGGCGGCATTATCACCATTCAAAATTTGAATGAAGCGTTCAATTGTTACATTAGTGATTAAATCAGTTTGAGTTTGAATGGATCGAGTTTGTGAAGCAAAGCAAACTTGTGGCAATCTTCTTCGTAGAGAAGCACCACCAATGTCAGTTGAGTTGATAATAGAATTGTTGTAGTTGACAGCAATTTTTAATTTTTCCATCAGGGGTCCCGATAGGTGAAGTTTACTGCAACCCAATATTAGATGCTTGAAAGATGAGAGTAGACAAGGTACAACGAAAGTGGTTGAGGTCATCTTTTTCACTACGTCGACACAATCCTTGGTTACTTCGATGAGAACATGGATGTGGGGATGGTCATTGTCGAGCAATTGGGCGCAAGACTCGTTCTGAATTGAGTGGGTTGCAAATGCAAAATTTGTGTTTAGAGGGAGTTGTGAGGCGTCGGGTTCGTTGTTCAGAATAAAAAATTTAAAATTTTTTCGAAATTTTTTTAAAAATTCAGGCGACTGCTCATACATTGCTTCAACCATTCTGCTGGTTAAATCAAATTATTCAAACGTTTTTTTTTGTTTGTTTCAGGCAACTCTACACTTTTTATTATTCGAGTATTCATCATCCGCATCGTTTTCATCGCCACTTTCAGCACATTCTTTTTTGGGAGGGACTAATCGTTTTGACGTGTATCGTCTTTTATGATGTTTATCATTCACAGCTGAGGATGAGGAGGAGGAGGAAGAAGATGAAGTCTTTTCGCCAGTTTGTTTTTTAACCAATTTTTTAATCTTTGAATAATTATCTGCCAAACAATCAAATTCTCTTGTCGTTAAGGTCACTGCTTGATAACATTTAAATACACCATCTTCATTCTTTTTATATAACTTAACTGTGATATATGTACCCGTTTTGTCAAAAGTTTTCGTTCCAACCCGTACAATGCGTTTTTCTCCCGAAGATATATCTTGAAAATCATCGTAAAAGTCTGTATCATTTTCTAGCGACGAGTACATAGTGGTGGTGGTAACGGTAGTGACTTGTTGGTTCAACTGTTTTATGATAGAATGAAATGAATAATGAATTGGATAGAAGATAAACAAATATCTGTGGATTTACTTTTATGGCGCCCCTTCAGCCTATAGCGGGAGAATTTAATTAGTTTTTGCAATTGGATTTGTATAAGATAAAAGCGTGTTTATTGCATCTGTCATTTCTGTCTGGAAAGCACTTGAATGGGTCATAAATCTCAGTTAATGTTACATGTCGGCATACATGTACTCAGTTTGAAGTGGAGATAGCTTTCGGTTGAATCTGTCTGGCAAATTCCCGTTTTAGCTCATAAATCTCAACGTTTTTACCCTGGCGGCATGCATGTTATCTCTTTGAAGTGTAAAATTTTTGTCATTTTGTGCTTAGGGTATCATAAAAAGGCGCCATGCTGTTTCTTTGAAGTATAGATTTTCAAAGCGTTCACATTTCTTCTTTAATTGCAAAAGCCCTGAAAACATATTAAAATTTCACAAAACCAGATTTATGGTAATTGGCTAAATCTTAGACCACCAGCAATAAAAAAACTAAAAGTGGTAGGTCAAACTAAATCTACTCACTATTTTTATTCAATCTCTCAAAATCAGTCAATACAAAATTTTCAACGATGGCAACTCCACTGCAAATCATTTCAATTAATTCTCTT